GGAATTTGCAGTTGTGTGAACCTTCGGGTACCTGAGATTGAGGCCGTGATGCAGAGCAAAGCCCAGGCAACACCCCTTCAGTGAGATATCTGATCGTTGTCCATGACACTAAGCTCTTCTACCCATCATCACTTGGTGCTTATCCCTGGATATTCCAATGCTTCGCAGGCGGTAGAGTACATCAGCTGAGAAGCATACACCGCGGGAATGGAATAGCATCACAGAAGGAGATGTTCTTCCCCTTTCATTGGTCGTCCACTTCTTGAAACCAGTGCCAATTTTGATTAAAACTTAATTTTGATTGCGAAATCAGGAAAAGTCTATATATAGCCCGATCCTGGTATATGTATACCCAAACGCCGTCTATGGTATCTCGTACAACTGCTCGCCTTTGGCAACGAGTGTGCTGTTTTCCACTGTCCTCCTCTTGTCCTAGAGCTTCATGCCCGTCCCATGAAAAAAAGGGGTATTCCTATGCAGAACAAGTAGACAAAAAACCGCAATTCAAAAACACACTGACGTAGGCAACCCCATGGGCCTTAGCACCCGCGATGCCCCGGCCTCATAAATCAACCCCTGGCCTTTAGCCAACCATTCCTCAAACGCGTCGCCAGTCTCATCCCCAGGAAAAGCATCCCACACCTTGCGGTCCGTGTCTGGGTACAGCGACCACATGCCCCTGAGCGAGTCTACCGTCGACCACGTGGCCAGCCTCCGTCTTGCACTACAATAGTGAAAGTAAAGCCTGCGGCAGAGATTGTACACCCGTTTCTGACACTCCGCCCGCGCCCCATCCTCGTCGCGCGCTTCGGGCGGGTTCCCGGGCATCACAGTCCACCACGCGAGACGCCACCGCAGGCTGGCAAGAATGCAACCCACCCGACGCAGCAGCGGGAGTAGCTCCTCCTCCTTGACCTTGGGTTCGGTGGACTTGTACAGCGCGCGCTGCAGGTAAGTATAGGCCTTAACCTCGACCTTGCGACAGATGACGCGGGCAAGCTGGGCAGCGAGTTGGAGAGGGCCGGTGTCGGAAGGCGATTCCGGGTCCAGGAAGCGTTCGGGAAGGTGAACATGGGTCTTGTAGACGTAAGAGTAGCGCGCGCGGGAGGGCATGTTGTGGATGGCGCAGAGGAGGGCGAGGGGGTCGTCGGTCACGACATTGTCCATGCAGGCCTCCCAGTCCGCGTCGAGTTGGACGAGGTCCCTGTCGATAAAGGAGCTCGGGCTCCGGTCTGTCCTGCCGCCGCCGATCTGAGCCTTCAGGGTGAGGAGATACTCGTGGCACTTTTGGAGGTTAAGGGTGTAGACGGGCCGGTTGTCCTGGTGAACGCGGATGTCAAAGTCGCAGGGGGTGTCCAGCGCGGCGATGACGTCGTCGAGGGGAAAGACGCGCTGTAGAGGAATGCGGATGCGTCGTGTTCCGTCGAGCGAGAGGTGGTTGATGGCGCGCTGGGAGACGTAGTTGCAGGACCTCGAGAGGACTAAGTCCTCAAAATGGGCCAACTCGCAGGGGCCCGGCCACTTGCTAGAGCAGCCATGCTTTTCACACTGGACACAGGGGCTGTCTGGGGAGTTGTCGACCCGTCTGCAACCCTGCTTTGAGTACTTGCAGCGGATGCAGACCGTCTTCTTGTTGCGGGTATCTTTGGCCTGCTCGCGGGATTTTGCTTCCATGGGACCGTTGCGGCGTCCACGAGCGGGGCCCTTTGGGCTTGTGCTTGGGAAGGGGGCAGCTGCGGCTTCCGGCTTTTTGGAACGGGAGCGAATTTGTACAGGTGCTGTTGTTGTCGAGGAGGCTATGATATGCTCCTGGCTGGCGCGCGGCAACTGTATCATGGATGATCGGTTCGGCGGCGGCAGTGCAGTGTGGCTGCGGGGACGGTTTGTTCTAGGGTCTACTGGTCTATGTACTCGCCGTGCTTGTGACGACAGAGGATTGCCCGGCCGGGTATAGTCTGATGAACGGCGAGGTCTCTGTCTCGGGACCTCCAGGCGGTCGTCCGTCGGGTTGAACGGTATCGACGGCCTCATATCTCGAAAGTTTTGCGTTCTAGTGTTCTGGAAGGTAAAGCTGTTGGTGGAAGTGTGGTCGATGGGATGTATTCCCGAGGTTGGGGAGGGCCCGGGAATGTTGAAGTCCTCGAATTGTTCAAACATGTTTGTGGCTTCCGGCGGGTGGATGACCAGCGAAGGCTGAGACTGTCCATCGGTGAACAATGGAAAGTCTCCGGATGGAAGGGTAGCGCCCCATGACTGGCTGAGACTCGCGTCTCCATCTTCTGAGAATTGCGCGCTCCAGTCCTCATAGAATGGTGAGGCGGGACTAGGAAGGTGGGAGTGGCTCGACAGGCCGGCGGAGAGGGCGCTGACACTCTGTCGGGGAGCGCTTGTCGGCGTGGTCTGGAAGTTGAAAGTGTTCGTGGGAAACCCATGAGCGGAGGCGGGCGAAGAGCTGGCCGAGAATCCCAGCGTGTTCAGCGACGGACTGGCGTTGTTTGTCTGGACGTTGAGGAAGGGTCTCTGGACAACGCCGGGGCTGCTCTCTATCGACGGCACGATGTACTCGGAGACGCTTGTGGTGGCACTGTTGAGGGGGTTGAAGTTACCGAAGCTCTCTGCGAAGTCGCTCTGGCTGAACGTCACCGACTCGATGTCGTCCTTCCCGTGTGAGCTGGCTTGGCTGATGCTGCGGGCGAGACCGTGCGATGACGGGCCGGCGGCGCCATGGCCGAGGTCCTCGTTCTCAAAGGACGAGCCGCCCCCGATGAGGAGTTCAATTGAGAGCTGTGCGTCTGCGAGAACATAATCAGCAGGTATTCTATCAGAAGACGACCTGGAAGACTGACCGAGATCAGGACCTTGGTTCTTCGGGTCGGGAAGGGAGGGAAGGTCGGCGTTGAAAGCCCTAGAGGTAGTCAGCATCCGCTCTACCTTGGTATGTCCGTGTATGTGTTAGGCACGTACTGGATCGACAAGTGAGGGTTCCTTGGCACATCGGTGTCGGGGAGATAGAAGTCATCCACGATCGCAGGGTGGTAGTAGAGGTTGAACGGCTGGATGCCGTCGCGGGCACCAGGCTGCTCGGCCCATGCCGAGGCGTCGTCGCGCTGGTTAGTCCTGTGTGCCATGCCCACGCGCTGGCTTCCTCTTCCTTTCGAGTATCTTCGTGTCTGATGATGTGCGGATGATGATGAAGCCACTTCTCGACAAGGTGGGCTGTGTTTGTAGAATTTTTCCTTCTTTTTGAGGTGGGTGGTGGCCAGAGGGGGAACCTGGACGGCCGCGCGCGGGGGGGAAGGAAGCGTCGCCCATCTTATTATGTCCCGTGTCTGCCTTCTATCGTTGTGCAGCCTCGTCTTGCCCAGCCCAGCAAGGCAACGCCCATCGCCTTGATTGGGTTGCAAATGCGCAGTGACATGTGTCTGAAGGTGACGGTGCAAGGTGAGTGGTCAGAAGGAGAGACTGGCATCCATTGGCAGCTTGGAAGGTGAGGTGCCTTGGTGTCAGTGGTGGTGTGGGTGGGTACCTAGGACAGGTGTAAGTCACTGATGGCAGCTGGAGGTGGTCCCGTCCGCCTGTCTCTGTACGGTCCCTTTCCGCTAGCGGGTTTAGTGCGCTGCTGGGACGATGACGGGGACCAACCAGCAGCTTGGGCAGCAGGACGTGCACCTCTCGGTGTGTTCCAGCGATGGAAAGAGCACTAATGCGGCCTATGATGCTCCCCCCGGGAAAACGTGCGGTACTTTTCTCGATCAGCGTTCCACTGCGCTACCAAAGCCGCACCAAGGCAGGGCGCGCGCTGGGCAAACCACGAGGCGCACTGCCAGGGATGCCTCGTCCGAGTCCCCGTCATCATCCTTCGACAGGACTTCCATCGTCCTTCTATGCATGCAGCAGCAAGGCATGGGTCAGGCCCGGTCAGGTAAGGTAGTCATCTGAGCTGAGGCATTATTTATCTCGCTCTGTCTACTGGCCGAATCTTGTTTCCCATCATGATGGAGGGTCCCGTTCATCCAATGTTGCCCCGTCTGATTTCCCAGCGCCGTAATCGGTCATGGGTGAATGATTCACACTTTCAGCGGACAAAGTCAAGGCCGTTCTCTGTCTCTCTTGGGCGAAGCTCGCACATACTTTGAGGGAAATTCAACCTTGCCCTATCGAAACAAGCCTCTCGTTCCTCTTAGGGCCACCCGGCGCGTCATACCTCTTTGCCCAAGCACAACTGTCTCACTGATTGAGCCATCCTCTGTGTCGCCGCTCTAAGGCTGATGATACCTAAGAAAGACCCACCGTCCAGAGACGTACCACGCAGGTAATCCTTGTGCCACCATGGCTTGTAATAATTCCCATTGGACGATGGAATACCATAAAAGCAGCCTTGGGCTACAGGCGATATCGCGTTCTCGTTCTAAACGTCTTAGGAACGCTCTAGTTGAGCAATTTATTAGGGGAAAAGTTGCCAATTTGACTTGAACTTGGGCTTGTTACGATCACAAGCAACTGATGTTTGAGCGTCGCTTTCATGATCCAAGCTGCAGATGTGATTGGCATCTTACTTAAATGAAGCCGTTTTTCAACACCAAGGCCTGCTTAATGACCATGCTTTCACTGGCTCCATTCTTTAACTTCGGTCTGGGATATCGTCATGAGGTTGGGCCTAATTCTTGCCGGCAAGTGTGAATTTGCCCGTTTCATGGTCAACACACCCTGACTAACACCTCCGTCGACACCTCTCATATCGGATATCTCGACAACAAGCGTATGGCACGATTTCCATTTCTCAGAAATTCAACATGAAGTCACATGGGGACATAGATGAACTGGCTCTGGAAATCAACCACTTCTCTCCTTCCCCATTGCGCTTCCCTCGTTCGCTTGCTTTGCCGCCTTGGCGCATGAACCCCAACACACAATCATAGGTGAATATAAGAGAACCAGCACCTCGTGACATTGAGCCAACGTCTGTCGCTCGCCCTGTCGGTTTCTCCAACCAAAAAAAGATGTCTCTCACCGCCGCAACGGCAACGACCAGCAACGCGACAACAACAGCCGCTTCTATCTCAGTACTCACAATCACCACGCCATGGGTGGAGCCGTCAGACTGCGCGTCCCAGTGGACGACCAGCATCGTGTCCTATGAAATGTACGGGGGCACCACCGTTACACAAGAGTACACCATTTCCAACCCCGCGGCGACATGCTATCCTTCCGGATGGAACGGCTTCGCGCCGGAGCACCGTCTCAGGTTCAGACCGGGCGTGTGTCCCGACGGATGGGTTTACAACGACATGGCCGAGCCTATAACCCGAGTGGTCTCGACGGCTCATTGCTGCCAGAGGTTCGTTATTGTCCCTCTTCCTCAGATCACATGAGCTAAACCGCTAACCAAAATCCATCGCTCCAGCGGCTTCGATCGCTTGGGGACGGCTTCTCAAGTTGAGAAGCCTCTCAACGTTGGCTCCCCTATGTGCAAAATCAGAGTGGACAACCGCAGGCACGAGATCGGGACCAAGAACCTTGGTGCACGATGCCTGGATCGTGACCTGGGCCAAATCTGACACGGCGACGTTGACGCCCAAGCTGCCGACGCTGACCAGCGGCATGACGGTGTGGACGTGGACGCCCGGTGAGAAGATCCCCAAAGGCCGAGACGACGCGAACAAGGTGGAAAACGGCGTCCAGTACATGAGCCAGGGTGTGCTGTGGTTCTTGATGGTTGGGATGCCCATCATCGGGGCTCTCATGATTAGCTCGTGTGTGTGATGCTGTGTACGGAAATGCAAGAAGAACAGACGGGAGAAGAGGGCTATCAAAGCCGCAGCAGCAACATAGCTGCTAGCAAATTTCAACATCAAAAATCTCAATTGGAAATTGAAGTTGTTAAAGGCTAGATGGCATTTAATTATGGACTTGTACATGATATCTTAGTGATGCATGCCTGAACAGCTCACTAACATGCCTCACTTAAAATGGCAACGACACTAGCCGAGTTTGGCTTTCAAGCCCTACTTACCCAATCAGTGAGATAACAATTGAACCGCAGTTTTGTCTGACGAACAACACCACCCCGTCCACCTTCCGACCGCGGAACCTCTTCTCGGCAGCCTGATCTTGGCCTCGGTCGCCTTCTTTTGCACTCTTTGTTGCTCCGCCTCCGCCTGCTTCACTCCAAGACGCCCCAGACTACCAAACACATTCTCTGTCTCTTCCTCCTCCCAGCCTGACCTTCGGCAAGGACCTATCTTCCCCTTCCGCTAGGACATCGGCGACCTACGACAAGCAGAAAAATGCGGCTCTTGGTAATTCCCTTTACACAACCAAACCCGCAACGGGCATCCTCGACCACCGCCGACTGATGCACTGCCCGCAGCTCGTCAACGACGACGGGCCCCCGTCCGCCGTCTCGCCCTACTTCGCGCCCTTCCTCGCCGCTCTGCACGAGGCGGGCCACCAGACCGTCGTCGTCATTCCAGACCGTCCGCTCTCCTGGATCGGCAAGGCGCACGCCGTCGGCAAGACCCTCACCGCCGCCAGCATCTGCCCTGCCTCCTTCTCCTCGACCCCCTGCCCCGTCGGCTGCGAGGACAAGCCCGACGACCGCCTGCACCGCTGGCTGGTCGTCGACGGGCCGCCCGCAAGCTGCACCCAGCTCGGTCTCTTCCACGCGGGCTTCGCGCCCGCGGACTTCGACCTCGTCGTCTCGGGGCCGAACCACGGCCGCAACGCGAGCACCGTGTGGGCGCTCGGCAGCGGCACCGTCGGCGGCGCGATGGAGGCCGCGCAGTGCGGGCGCCGCGCCGTCGCGCTCAGCTTCGGGAGCAAGGAGCCACAGCCCGACGGGATCATCCGCGCGGCGTGCGTGCGGGCCGCGGCGCTGGTGGGTGAGCTGGCGGCGGACTGGCACCCCGGCGTGGAGGTGTACAGCGTCAACGTGCCGATGGTGCCGGGGGTCGCGGACGCGCCGGTGCGGATGACGACGACGGCGCGGGGGCAGTGGGTCACCGGCGGGCTGTTCAGTCCGGCCGCTGCGGATCCCGAGAAGACGACGCTGGGGAGGGAGTATCGGTTTCGTTGGGCGCCGCAGCTGGCTGATGTGAAGAAGCAGGCCGAGGAGAGCCCCGAGGGGGAGGATTTGTGGGCTTCTGTGAATGGGGTGATTAGTATTGCGCCGTTGAAGGCGAGTTTCACGGCTGGTGATGTGAGCAAGTGACGATTGCACGCAAGATCATGTGGTGTGCCATTTATAGATAAAGACATAGACAGTAGATTAAAAAGAGTAGATAAGAGAACGAGCAGCGGCCGTCGCGTTGGTAGCTCACACGGATACGCAGCCGCCTGCGCTGTCCTCGATGAAGATGCCGCCGTAGATCTGGCCCTCGTCCAGGCCGCTCTCCTGGAACCCCGAGTTCACCACGTCGTCGGTCCCCGTGGGCTTCTTGAGCATGCCGATCTGGTACTGGCCCTGACCGGCGAGGTTAGCTGAGATGATGTCCCCTGATTTTTGCAGCGGCTCGTCGTTGGCGGAGTACCAGACTTGGATCGTGCTAAGGTCCCGTCAGTGTCCTTTTCTCAGCCCAAAGGGCAGTACTTCGGGGGTGCTCACTTTTCATCAAAGTCCAGCGTCAGGGCAAAATTCTGCCACGAACCGTCCGTGGCCATTGGAGTGGACCACACCAGCCGGCTCTCCCTGTCAAGGAGCTTGAAGGCGTCTTCGGGCAAGCCCGGCTGCCCGATGATGGTGCCAGTCTGGAAGTTAAACTGGTTGGCGTCGTACGCCGCCGTCTCGTGCCAGACGTTCTGGCCCCCCGTTAGCACACTCACTCCCGCGCACAACCATCAAGCATCAGCTGGGGGTGTTACCAGGTACTCATGCGTCAGGTTCAAAGGCCTCTCCGCGTCCTGCCGCACGCTGAAGTGCAGCGTCTTCGCCCCCTCGCCGCCGGGGCTGCCCGTGTTCGTGTCCGCGGCGAACTGCAGCCCCGCGCGGCGGAACCCGCGCTGGCTCATGAAGATGCTCTCGTCGGAGATGGTCACCTCCACCGCGCGCGAGCCGGCGGCGGCGTCGAAGCGGGAGGCAGGGACCGAAGGGAGGAGGACGATGTCGGACCAGAGGAGGGCGTTGCCCTTGACGTAGGACGGGTTGAAAGGGTTCCAGCCGCCGCCGTTCGGGGCGTCGAAGTCGGTCGGGACGGCGGTGGAGGGGAGGCGGCCGTCGAAGATTATGGGGCACCGGATGGGGGAGCGGCAGGTTAGGGCTGCTGAGAGGGCTGGTGTCGCGAGGGTTAGGAGTGTGAGGGGATGCATTTTGAAGGCCGCGGATTATGGGGATGGATTTGGTGGTTTGGAGATGGTTTGAGGAATTGGGGAGGATGGAGGATTGATGTCGTGTTTTTATGTCAGTACATGTGAACGGTTTGGGTCATTGATGAGGTTGGGTGCCGTATGTCGGTGTTGTCTGTTCTAGGCAAGAACGGGGGCTTGGCTCCGAGAAGTCGGAACAGCCGTGTTCTTCGATTCTAGCGAGTGGCGATCTCTAAGATTGTATCATGGGACACTAGTAGATGACTTCTGGCGATATCGCATTCCTCGCTCCAATTCATGGGTTTGGTCTTGCCGGAAAAGCAGAGCCTGAGGTAATTAGCTGGACTTCATGAGTAGGATATGTTGGATGTACGTGTCCATAAAGGACAAACGAATGACAGCATGAAAAAGTAGAGACAAGCAGAATTTGATTTTCAAATCTTTGGGACTTCCTGAAAAGATATCAGAATCCAAGTATTGGCGTCCTTGGCTTCGAAGTGCAATTTCTGTGCATTGAACCAGTCTATCCGATCAAGCGTCCCCTCCGGAAATGCTGGAGTACATGGCAAAAGCTAGAGATTTAATATGACGGAGAAGGTCGCGCGGCAGCTTTTTGCCCTCTTTTTTGTTTGTCTTTTTCTCTGGTTTGAATCTATAGCCCCCAGTCTCAAGTTTGTGAGGAATTATTATTTCTATGTCGATGTCGAGGATACGAGATTGGGAGGTTCACAACACACGGGAGACTTGACAGAGTTAAGATAAATATTGAGTTAATCATTTCCTTTGAGAAAGTAGGCCAATTTGATCACCAACGTTTGCCGTGTTCTAGGTCCCAAGAATACTCGAGCATTGTATTTACAAGTAGGGCCAACCAAAGTGAGTTGCCACGTGGAGCAGACATACGAAGGTATTGGTATATGTAGGTACCTAAGTGAATACATCTTAGATGTTGACGGAAGGCGAAAGAGCGTAGTTGTAGGCACAGGCGAGTTACTGGCCTGGTCTCTCTCATGTTCAGAAACCGCATTCAAGCTGTAGAGAAGGACGTGAAGCATGTGTTGACACTAATTGGAAACGAAGATAATGTGCTTCTGAATTCTCCCAAAAGAAGACTCTCTCGCTGTCGAGGCTCGTGGCTGGGTTTTATCTAAGAAATGCCGGTTAAACTTTGTATTTAATAGTGTAACCATGACATCTTTAGCAGCGTGGGGAGCAATTTTATACATCAGATTGATTTGTCGCTCTGGAGAAAAGAGTCTCATTTGCCTGTGATAACTCCATTGAAGGTATCTGCAAAGCGTTGCCAGGTAGCCTTGCGTGTTACCGATGACTGAGCCTCAACGCATAAATACATTTCAAATACAGGGGCAATAGATATAAGACGACGCAAATGATGAGGGGAGGTAAGAAACAAAATGCGGCTTCGTGACGAGTATCCATGCCTACGTAAACACTGAATCACGAAAATGGTTCAAAGGGGAACACGAGAGCGGTCTTGAAGGCTTTTGGGCTCTACTACGGGTGTGTGGACATTCGCTGTCCGGTTTCGACTCTGTTCACGTGGCATCATAGGGCATGCGTGGACATCTTCACATCCAGGCATTTTACAGCCTAAGCTAAGATTCGTACTAAACTTGGTCCCTCCCAATTCGTTAGCTCCCGGGGAATCGATCCTCTTGAACCGGCGGACTCGGTATTCCTAACCATCTCATTCTTTAAAAGCTTGGCTAGGCTTCAAACAGGTGACTTGTGCAGCAAATACATGTTGAGTAGTCTCCCGTCGATGTGTGTTGTCTGCCTGACCAACCATTTCTATACGCATGCAAAATTATCTTTGTTTCTGGCAATTGTTCGGTCTCTTGAGCAATCGTTGGTCGGTATCCAGCTTTTGGAATACGTTAGTGTGTATTGCGAAACCCCTCATAGCCGCCGGTATAGGACGGCAACGGGAGGGAAGAGCTGGGGAGTTCAATTTGCAAATTCATATCGACCTTCGTTGGGACAATTGTGTCTTTAGGTGGTAATGGGACATGCGACGTTCAACCAGCTATGATGGAAGCTACCGTCACTGGCGTTTAACAGAAGAATTCAAAGCGTTGCCCCATACTTTCAAAGCCGTTACCCTTCTTCAATGAACTTAGGATCTGGACGCCAAGTTAGAATGATTGTCTGGACTTGACGCATCCGCGCGACGATGACGATCTTCGACTGCTATGCAGTCCTCACCGAACACCCAATCCGGAAACCGAGCGACTTGCAAGGCTTAGACCCTCGCTGCTAATCAGGTATCTTACCGCAATGCATGCAAGATGACCCGTCGCTAGAGCAAGAACTTGGGGTGGCGCGGGGCATGCGCCAGCCACTCGGGACCGTCGCGTGTCTCTCGTTGATGCAGATACGAAATACGGTCCGGCGGCGGGGACCCAATGACAAGCGGGGCTTTGCGCCGAGTGGGGCCGTGCCTGTGACGGTAAAGCCCGGGCGATGATTATGCCCGACTTACCGGCACGTTGCTGGCCTCATTTGATGAGGAAACGACGGAGGAGCATGAATGCTTTTTGCAAGACCTCACATGATTATGGGTATATAAACTGGGTGGGAGTTCCCATTTTGTGGGTGGTAAAGCTGTTGTTCATCATCGCCATCGCAGACTGCATGCACTCAACCTTCAGATATAATCAGTCAAACAAAGTACAGCCTCGCCTTGACGGAGAAGATGAACTTCATGGGCAGGAAAAGCGATGCAAAGGCCGACGACGTCGCCAACATCCCACCCGAGCTCTCGGACCTGCACTGCTTCACAGAGACTGGCGGGGTAATCACCACAAGTATCTCGTTGTCACCACCCTCACTGTTCTCAAGCACATGCTCACTTCCCCTACAGCCATGTTCGACGTCCCGGGGTACCGGGTCGTCCGCACGCTCGGCGCGGTCTACGGGCTCTCGGTGCGCAGCCGCAACATCGCGGCGAGCCTGGGCATGGTGATCAAGTCGCTCGCTGGCGGCGAGCTGCGCTGGTTTACGACGATGCTGTACAACTGCCGCAACGACGCGCTGGGCCGGGTGGTGACGGAGTGCAAGCAGCGGGGCGGGAATGCAATCATCTGTCTGCGGTTCGACGCGTCGGACCTAGGCGGGTTTGCGCAGACGTGTGCGTACGGGACGGCGTGCGTGGTGGAGAAGATTCACGAGGAGGCGGCCGTTGCGCCGCAGCTTGCTGATGTGTAGTGCGTTCAGTAGGGGGAGGGGGAGGGGATGCGAACAAGAATAGGTGAGGTTGTGGCGAGGTTCGAGTTGGCTTGGCGGGTTGAGATGGTTTCATTTTTGGTGTGATTCTGGGGGATGCGGGTTTTTTGATACCAATGCCACTGTTTGGAGCTTTTTTGGGATTTGATGGTGTGTTTTCTGAGATGATAGTTATTCTGCCTGCACCTTCTACCGCCAATCAATATGGCGAACACGGCAGATGGAAGCTGACTTCAATTGATTGCCCACAAAATGTTTGCTTGAGGATTGAACGGAAGCCATCGCACAGCTCCTTCCCGAATTGATGAATTGGAGGATGAGCTTGCATCAAGCCGAAATCCTTCTACAGGGCCTGCATGGAGCGATAAGCAGATAAGCGATGGACCCAGGTGGCCGGCTAGCACTGAGTGGGAATGTGACAATTGGCAGTTGAAACGAGCCAAGGCCACTCCGCATCCGTGAATAGAGCGTGCCGTTCAATTGGAGAAGGTGTTCCTGGTCTGGGGTCGCTTTTGGGGGCCCTTCCTGCAGCTGTGACAAACTCATTCGCGCACCAAAGTCCAGTCCAGGCCAGCTAAGCTACTTCCATTTCACTGTAGTGCCAGGGGCCCGCCACCTCCCACAGCAAGCACGCACCGCACCCACCATCGCGCAGCAAACACA